GGACAGTTTGGGAATAGTGGAGGTAGGAGGAGGAGAGGAGAAGAGAAGTGGATGGAGGAGGAGGAGGAGGAGGAGAGAATTCCATCTCCTGAGACCACTTTACTGCCAGCAGCATATGAACACAGAAGTGGAAGAAATTCATTGCACCAAGGCAGATGATGGGAACACTTCAGAATTGAGAGTATCGATGAGTTTTAATCTTTGTACCATGTATTTGAATATATTAATGCATTTTATGTTGATATGTTTTGACTGTGTTGATGATGGGAGAATCACAGGGAGGAGGGAGACCGCCAAAGAGATGCCAACAGCATCATGCTAAAAGCAATGGTCCAGCTGCAGTGCTGATTTGCCTGCCTTGTGCCATAAAGTTCTTAATCTACAGTCTCCACCAGCATCATCTTGCACAAAATTTCAGGTACTGGCAGAGTTTCCAGGACAAGTTATGCACCAACAGTGTTATGTCTCGGTGAAACTGAGCCAGCTTGTTTAACTGACAAAAGCAAAGCCTGTGTGAGTTAAAAATACAGGGTGAAAATTCTTGATATAAATGTAGTAGTGTGATTTAAATATAATAGCAATCTTCACAGCAATGATGTCACGCCAAGTGTCGGATGAAGGACAGATATTCAATGCATGACTTTTATGTGCCTCCTGAAAATGCAGTCTCATGCAAAACATCATCAGAAATGGAGAGCTGGAAAAAAGCAAAGGTTAAAGGAATATTAACGAGCCAGATTATGCCATTGCAGGGCTAAGCTTATCCCCAGGGAATGTAGAAAAATGCAGAAGGTCGGCTAGATTATATCAAAGGAGGCAACTTTTAGAATTTAGTGTGCAATTTTCTCCATAGGTGTGGAAAGCATTTCTCTAACGGCTTTTGTTCAGATATTCAGCCACTTTACAGCTAGCGGCTATGCAACAGTGGGCTGCTGATAAAATTACCTCTTGAAAACAAGATTAGAAAATTCTCCACATGAGATATTGGAGAAAGAAGATGGGAAACAATATATTGCAAAATAACTAAGCAATATATCGTAAAATAACTAAGACGAGGTAACTAACTCTGTGTACCTGTGAATGACAAGATGAATAACCATATGCACACCTTCCTGGAGTAATTGAATACAATAAGACTTTCTTTGGAGCAGTCATCTCTAGGCTTGAGTTGTAAGTTACTTCAACCCCAGAAGTTAATGTTAACTCTAGATGTACACCCTGATTCATAACAATACATTTTTTAAACATAAGTTTAATCACAGTTGATAAATCACAGTTCAAGCCACTTTTAAAAGGATTCCTATCTAAACTAAAGCAGGGTCATTCCTTCCAAGATTCTCGGAATGGAATTTGGAAAACTTCACTTTTTTGACTACTGCACCCAGAATTGCATAGCAAAGAATTCTGGATTCAAAAAGTAATGTTTCCTAATTCTAGTTCATGATACAAATACCAGGAATTCCAGAATGAAAAAAAATCTGTGTTAACTACTTCAAAATAATATGGTAGTTTATTTATTTATTTATTTATTTATTTATCGTGTCAGTATCAACCAGACAATTGTATTACGTTTTTAACAATTTTTTAACAAACAGATAAAACAGGGTTTGCAAGCTTGGTAGTTGGTTAAATATTCTTTGACCAGTAGCTGGCCACTTGGAGTGCCTCTGGTGTTGCCGCAAGGAGGTCCTCCATTGTGCATGTGGCAGGGCTCAGGTTGCATTGCCTATTGATCTACTCACATTTACATGTTTTTGAACTGCTAGGATGGCATAAGCTGGGGCTAACTGCAGGAGCTCACACTGCTCCCCTGATTCAAACCACTGATATTTTGCTCATCAAGTTTAGCAGCTCAGCAGTTTAATGGTACATCTAAACTGTAGAATTAATGCCGCTTTAACTGCCATGGTGGCAGTTAAAGTGAAATCATGGAAGTTGTAGTTTGATGAGGAATTGTACTATTTGGCAGACTTAATAAAATTTGAAATATCATGATTTAGCTGCAAAGGCAGTTAAAGCTGTGACAGTTATGATTTTTGTTACAGTATATGATTTTGTAAGTCTTGACAAGAATCATCTCTTGCTTATATGTGTGTGTTGAGGAAGAACCACTCCCTGATTAGGATGTATATCAGGTGAGGTTTTCTTGATGCAGGTAGTGGGTGAAATGAAGTAATTAGAGATGGAACTATGCTACAAGGTTTGCTGGAAAGAAGCAGATTAATGCATTATTTTGTAAGTGTTTTTTTCCTTCTGCAATGGACAATGTGGACAATGTGTTTTCAAGGCTACTGTATTTTTTCTTTATAAAATACATGTGCTGACTACTCAAGAGTAAAGACATTTTTCTTTTATACTCTGTGTACTTCAACTTGGGGCCTGGAGCTGGGAAGACTGCTGTGTATTTTCAATATAAACTAACAAACCGCAACAATTTTGCCATTTATATAAGGGAAACCATTTTACTATGACAGTGAAAGAGATGCGATTTGAGCATCCACAGATTTTGGTATCCATGGGGTTGCGGGATGAAACCAAACATAAGTGAAACAAAACAAAACAATCTTTTGTCCATCTCATTTAGTTTGAAAATGTCTTGAACCGTTATCAAAAATTCTCATCTTCAGTCTTCCATATGAATCCACTTCAGTAAACAGTCCATCCAGAAGCCTTTATTTAAAGCTTCCAGAAGGGTTTTCTCCAACCTTGCTGTCTGCTTTTGCATTCCAGTTTCTCTAAGTGTGATGTTCTTGGATTTCTGATGCCAAGCTGTTCCTCAGCAATGTCAATTCACCCAAAATTTGGCTTAATTCAAAATGAGAACAATTTCAGCCTCATTGGAATCAGATTCAATTGAATTAAGCCAAATTGTGTTATTCTAGCTAAACATCAGGTGGCAGTAGAGTACACATTTTCCTTCAATTTCTTTTGGCTTGCTGTTGCTAAGTACAGTAGTCTCACTTATCCAACATAAATGGGCTGGCAGAATGTTGGATAAGCGAAAATGTTGGATAATAAGGAGAGATTAAGGAAAAGTCTATTAAATGTCAAATTACGTTATGATTTTACAAATGAAGCACCAAAACATTTTTAACAACAGATTGACAGAAGAACCGTCCTGAGTCCCTCTACAGAGGTTAAAGAAGAACGGTATATCAGTTATAAATAAATAAATAAATAAATAAATAAATAGCAGTTCAATACACCGTAACATTATATAATAATTACTGTATTTACGAATTTAGCACCAAAACATCGCAATGTATTGAAACAACTGGATCGAGGTGGGAGGCAGGCTGTGTTGGATGAGTGATGGTTGGATAAGTGAGACTACTGTACAACTAACTTCCCCTAAAAGGGGACGGCTGTACTCCAAAAAGTCCAAATATTTACTTCTGGTATTTTTTTTCCTGGGAAATTTATTTTGTTTTGGCTTCATAGACAAACAATACTTGTATTGTCAAAGGCTTTCATGGCCGGAATCACTGGGTTGTTGTAGGTTTTTTCGGGTTATATGGCCATGTTCTATAGACATTCTCTCCTGACGTTTCACCTGCATCTATGGCAAGCATCCTCAGAGGTAGTGAGGTACCTACAACACAAACAATACTTGAATCCTTTGATGGGTATGTATACTATTAGCTGTTATGATTAATCTATCCCACAAAATTTAATAGATTTGGCATTTCTTGACTATCTTCTTTAAAATCCATCAGCAATGTGGGGGAGTTAGCCATGTCTCCTTCTAGTTTCCCGATAATAAATTCAGATTACTCATATCTTCCAACAATAGAAGTTACAGTTTATGGGAGTAATTTTCCAGCAGGCAAGAGTGAGTCTCATAAAGTAAAATCTCTGTTCTTTCTTTAAAATGGCAAAATATTAAAAATATTAAAAAATATTTTAAAATAATATTAAAAAATATTTTAAAATAATATTAAAAAATATTTTAAAATGGAAAATTAACCAAAAAATGGCTCAAATGTGGACCAAACACAGTCAGGCAGGACACAGCAAATGAAGCAAGCAGCACTCACAGCAGCAAGGAATGAATCCAATCCAGTTGCTAGCCATTAGCCAAGCCAAGCCAATGCAAACTCCCTCGCCCTCTGCAGCAATGAGCTACGGCCGCGCCGCGCGGAGCCGCTTTGAAAGGGCTCGCCGGCCAATCAAAAACAAACAGCCACGGACCCACAGTGCACTGCTTGGGAGCGCCGGATTGGCTCCCAGGCACCAGCACTCCAGCAGCCTCCACCCCATTAACGAAACGAGCGGAAGCTCGTTAAATCTATGGGGGTTGCCGGTTCGATATTTTAAAACCCTTCCGGGTTTGGAAATGTGTTTTGATATCGCTTCAAAAATGCCTAAAATAACGAATGTTTAACGAATTAACGAACGAAACCAGACAGGCCTAGTATTTTTTACTGACCTCCATCTACTCTGGCTCTCGAGGCACAAACAAATGCCTTGGCAAGCTATCAGAGGTAGAGTCTTCAGGAAAACCTCAATTTCTTCCTTGCCTGGAAGAATGCTACTACCGGACTAAGATATCTCAGAACCAGTGATAATCCATAGGTGGCGACTTCTCCCCAGGACCTTATCAGGAGAGAACTCCACAGTCCACCATTTTTACCCAGTCTCTCCAAATCACCCAGTTCAGTTACATGATTAACACATCACCAAAACATCCAACTACAGCTTCCTATCAAAGTAGGTATTAATGATAACCATGTTTTCCCAGATATTCTGGACCACAGCTCTTACCGTTTCCATTCAAAATTATTATTACAATATTGATTTAAGTGTATTTTAAATGTGTTTGTGTATTTCAGTTTTTTCCTACTATGCTTTACTGGGATGAGGTAAAGATAGTTAGTCATGTTGGCAAAGACTGATATCAGCTGCAATTGAAAACTCTGGAGGGGTCTAGGTTGAGAAAAACTGATCTAAACATATATGTATATGTGTGTTTATTCATGTTTACACATAGACACACACACTTAGCAAAATAACATTTATTCAACCAATGCATTTACAAAACAAATTTCCAGTAACAGACATATATACCTTTATGTGCTCATTGGTGACACATCAACATTGCTAGATTCATTCTTATGTTAAATGAAAACTAGAACAGAGATTCAACAATGTGGGTATTCTTTCTTCCGAGGCTTTAGTTATCTTCATTTTTAATCTTTTGCAAAACTTTCCTCAAATGGCACAGTTCAGAAGATGAATAGGCTCATCTATAAATTTCCGTAGTATCTGTCACGGTTCTGAAAATTTCTATATGCATGCTTTGCATCAGATTTGCTGTGAGGCACTCTGCCAAAAGGTTCATGATCATTGAAACAGGATTCAAAGACTTCATCTACAGTCTTCTCTGCCATTTCTTTGCTAACTTTTCTAACAGCCAGGATGGAGCGAACAGCTCTGTATCTAACGCAGGCCTGTGAAATGTAAAAGAAAACAAGATCTGGTCACAAGCTACAAATTCTAATCAACCAATACATTTATGTTAGTAAGAGGAAACTGTTTTCTATAAGAAAAATGTTTGGGATCTTCAGAGACATCTTTTCACAGGCCTGCAAAATTAAGGATCATAAAAGCTTTCTAAAAATGTGTGCTGGCTTTCTGGGAATTTGGTATTCTAAATCTACAAAGGGGCCCCTTGTGGCATAGCAGGTTAAACCGCTGAGCTGCTGAACTTGCTGAAAGGTTGGTGATTCAAATCCGGGGAGCAGGGTGAGCACCTGCTGTTAGCCCCAGCTTCTGCCAACCTAGCAGTTTAAAGACATGCAAGTGTGAGTAGATCAATAGCTACTGCTTCTGCAGGAAGGTAATGTTGCTCCATGTAGTCATGCTGGCCACATGACTTTGGAGGTGTCTAGAGACAACGCTGGCTCTTCGGCTTAGAAACTGAGATGAGCACCACCCCCCAGAGTCAGACATGACTAGGCTTAATGTCTGGGGAAACCTTTACCTTTTTTTAAATCTGCAAAGAAATATGCTTGCACTAATTTATGACAAAGAGTGGGCACCTATAACAAACAACCAAATGGCACCACTACTATTTCCAGAACTTCACAACTATAGTGAACATATTGGGATTCAAAGAGGCACCTTAAGGGACAGAGTAAACTAAGAAGAGCCTGAATCTGGTTCATGGCTTGAATCACTGGGTCGTTGTAGGTTTTTCGGGCTGTATGGCCATGTTCTAGAATCATGATGGCGAACCTATGACACGTGTGTCAGCACTGACACGCGTAGCCATTTTCGATGACACACAGCCGCATGCGGCCGCATACAGAGAAGATGGGGCTGCATCCCAAGAAGGACATTTCATCCTCGGCTCCTACACCAGCATTTTTCTATAATGCCGAGATATATGGCATTATAGAAAAAGCAGGTAACTTAAATAATTAGTTTTTGGTTTATTAAATACAATTATATATTACAATAATATATTTTTGTTATTAAACTATAAATATCATGAAATTATGGGTTTTTCTCGAAGTGACACCCCACTCGAGTTATGCTCGGTTTTTTGGCGAGTATTGACACACCAAGCTCAAAAGGTTGCCCATCATTGTTCTAGAAGCATTCTCTTCTGACATTTCACCTGCATCTATGGCAGTCATCCTCACAGGATGCTTGCTATAGATGCACGTAAAACGTCAGGAGAGAAACTGGCACCCCTGTTTAATATATCAAGCACACTACTTCTATGCTGAGGGAAGATACATATAGTGCATTTTATATTCTCAAAGTAATAAAGTGGTTGCTAATATAGCATTTTTTCACTCTTCCCCTTAAATACACACACACAAAAAAGGGGCGGGGCCAACTTATTTCTCCTCAGAGTTTTAAAATTTGACATCTCTACTCCTTTAGTGAAGGCAATTAGTCCCAAATGCTACCCATAGTTTGTAAATCTTTCTCTCTGCATAATGGTTAACATTAATTTACCTGGTGATGCTGCTTCAATCCAAAATTAAACCGGCTCATTTCATTGAGAAGTGAACAGTCTCCACTCAGGTTGGCAGCTCTAATCTATGAGAGAAACACAAGACCATCAAAACTGAATATAAACAACTCAGGATAGTGTATCTCAAAGTGAGCTCCTCCAGGTGTTTTGGACTTTAACTCCCAGAAATCCCAGCCTTCTTACCAGCTGTTAGGAATTGTGGGAGCTGAAGTCCAAAACATCTGTAGGAGCACAGTTTGAGAAACCCTGGTTCAGAGAAAAACAACGCTTCTTATGGAAGGAAACGTTTCCCAAGATTTCTCTATATACGATGCCAGTAGCTAAACTTTAGTAAACACAATGGCTCAGTGATCTCTTTTGTAATCTGACTCATAACTAGTTTAAGAAAAATTTAGACAAGTCAATGATGGGAAAAGATATGATTGAGTCCAACTGGTTGTTCACACAGACACTTTCTTAAAATTCACCTACTGCACCAAGAATAGTCTTCTTGGTAGTATGTATTAAAACAAGTAAAAATTTAACAAAAGTCTTCTAAATTTACCATTGATGGTTGCTCCTTTCTTTCAGCAACAGAGAAGAGAAAATCTCAACTAGGTGCATTATTTTCATTTTATACAAAACTAATTCAAACATACTATGGCAGGTCATTTTTTAAATTGAAACATTGGGATTTCAGAACTGTTAAAATGACCCCACTTAGCACTGTGTGAACTTAGCATCTATTGCTCTTGATGATAAAACTGAAGATTGAAGGAAAACCATGGAATACATTCAAATGTAAGCACAATGATAATTCGAGACTATGTATGCAGCATGCTTCTTTTTTTGGTGTCAGGAAACTGCAAGTTGCTTCTGGTTTGAGAGAATTGAACGTCTGCAAAGATGTTGCCCAGGAGACACCCGGATGTTTTGATGTTTTACCATCCTTGTGGAAGGCTTCTCTCATGTCCCCGCATGGGGAGCTAGAGCTGTCAGAGGGAGCTCATTCACGCTGTCCCTGGATTCAAACCTCTGACTTCAGTCCTGTCGGCACAGGGTCTAACCCATTGCTTCATTGGGAAATGCTTCCTAAGAATGTTATTAATTCAGATGTGTGTGAATGAAGAATTTTAACTTACCTCTGAGCAAGCAAGGTGTTTCATATTATTGAACCAGTCCACATGAGCGCGGCAATGATCGAAGGCATGGATGAGCTCATGAGTCACCACTCTGTCCATATGAGATTGATAATGAATATTGTTTTGGCACAAAACAATCTACCAAGGAAATAAGAAAGAAAAAAACTCATGAGAAAATTGGGATGTTCTATGTAGCTACAAGTTGTATATGTTTTTGTACACCCAAACAGTGTGCTTTGCTTTCAATCTTTTCCTGTTCTCTATGTAGCACTAATCAACATTTATTTGAACTGCCAAGTCCATCTTTAGAGACAGTCAATATCTAGCTTATACCTCCCTAGGATCCACATTTCCCTAATTAAACTACTTATAGGTAGGAAAAGGTTCAGGAAGAATCTACACTGACCACTTTCAGACCAATATTGAAGAATTGTCTTCTGTGCAGATAATTTTATCGAAATCCTGGAATCAGCTTGAAGCCCGGATGGCAATTACACAAACCACAGAATACTGGTGCTTATGAAGGGCCTCTTTTGCAGGAGTGTGTAGTCTGGCCACCATAGTTTGAAGCTAGCTTAGAACTGCATGAAATGGTTAGTGGAAATGGAGCCGCAGTCCATTCCCTAAATATACTAGCTGCTATATGGTGCAAGTGGGGAATAGGGTCACAAAGGTGACACCATACACCTTGATCTGAAGTGTAACTGAAGCAATGCAATACAAAAACATAGGTTGTTTTCCTCCACAATTTTCCACCTCTCCTTTTATTCTCTCCTTTCTGTTGGATGAAGGCTTGTGATATGCTAGGTCATTAGGCTGCCTGGTATAAACTAAGTCTCTCTCCCCCCAGTAATCTGCTTTAAAGGAGTCAACATAAGTATGGAACAACTCTGTTGGGTTGCCCTGCCATATGCTGAAATCCCCATTATGAAAGCATTAGACCCGCACTGCCTGTTCTTCTGGCTATACTAAATTCACTGAACTCACTGTGGTGAAATAGGTAACTCTACATTGCCCTTTATACATATTTATTATTTATTTATATTTCTATCCTACCTTTGTCAAACCCAAAGGTGACTCAAGGCGGCTTACAACCCAGCAGCCATTCAATGCTGTAACCATACACAGTATAAAATGTAAACATTTACACAGATTTATCAAATCATACAATAAAAACCAATATTTTTACTGTTCATCATGCTGTCCAAAAAACATCGTCTGAACCATTACATATTTCAGTTCCGTATGAATCCGTATTTAACTATTACACTGCATCCCCAAAGGCTTGTTCAAAAAGCCATGTATGATGAAATGTCAAATTAATACCAGAGATAAATGGGGTCAGGATAGACCCTAGTAATGAATTATAACTGCCATAGGATGAATGAATCACAATTTCAGGTTTACAGAAGATTCAAACTGATGCATGCAATGTCAAATTTAGGAAGCAATTGTATACTCCATAAGAGGGCACATTGGGGGCCATAGAAGTAAATAAACCTTCCCCTATCTAAAGAAAGACAAGGAGATTTGTGCACAAAAATTCCACTTGTAGAAGTCAGATAGTTGTTGAACTGTCACTGCCAGGGTCGTTTGGGGGCCAAATGAGGGACATGAGGCAACCCTCTCCCTCTTGAGACATGATCTTGGAAGACAGGAGAAATCACACCAGCATTAAGCTGAAAGTGCTACTTTTCTATTCCCTGAAACCATATAAAGGGAGAAGGAAATGGGATCAAAGCTTACCTCATCCCCTGTCTGCCCTGAGACATGAAAGTCTAGTAAGACTTACAAAGAAATGGGACTTCCATCTCAGATTTTCTGATTGTTGTTATTGTTGTTAACTGCTACTGACTGACCCAATGGATGAAAAATCTTCAAGTCACTCTACCATTAACATTCTACCTTACCAAACATTATTGACTTTTCTAGTGAGTTGTGTCTTCTCATGACATGGGCAAATATACCACAAAATACTGGCCTGCTAATGATTTTCTTCACCACTATAATGAAGCAAAGTAACACCTCAGAAACGTCATGATGATAGCCAAAATACTGAATATTAAGCATGCCTTCAGTTTAAACATATTTTCAGTTAAAGCAATAATTTTATTTTGCTATCACAGAAACACATGTGATGATTTAAAGCAACCAGAGCTGACTGCTCAGTGATTTACCTGCGATGTTGAAGAATCAAATCCTCCACTGACACATCCATCACAATCTTCACATGAGAAGTGTCGGTCTTTGAAAACAGTGCTTAAAAAATGCAGAAACAATATATGTAAGATTCAAGTATAATGACCACCTTCAACCAAAATGCACCTAATGTAACTATAGTATAAATACATGTGTGTAGGGCCAAAAATGAGCTTACCAGCCAGAATTCTTCATAGCATCAAGTAACAGTTTAGCATATGGATCTAGAAAAAAAACAATAGAAGTATTTATTCTAAGCAAGTGTCTTCTATAAAGCAAAGGCTCCACTCTACATAATTTAGATTATCAAACAAAAAGAACATTTTTCATTGTCATAGTTCATTGTTTGTTTGTTCCAAGTATCAGTAAAGCTTAAAGATGACACGGTTCGTATGATAACTGACTGGGCTAATTCACTGAGTGGCTATCACCTACTTAGTTGCCAATTTATGGTTACAAAGAAGAAAATCTCACTACATTAAAAGTGGCTTTCTCCCAAGCAGATGTGTATAGGGTTGCAGCATGAATATCTAAGAGCAAATACAAGAACATTTTTACATGTCAGTGTTACACCATGTTAAACCACAGACTATCACAATCTGGAGGTTCCCTACTCTTGGTGACCTCTCAGGATTTAACTTTAAAAAAAGAACAACGTTCATCCATACCAGCTTTGACTTCAGGAAGAAAAAAAATATCTAGGTCAAGAAGAGAACTGAGAACTTTTGGCTCTTTGTGTAGGTGAGCCTAGTAAGCTATAGAACTGCATAATACTGCAGCAGTGACATCCATGGAGATTGTGTGTGTTTGTGCCTTGAAGCTACAAACAATTTATGATGACTCCATAAATTATTCACAGGTAAATGAATGTGGAATTAGAGTTCAATCATAGTTCATCCAAGATAAATTACTAATTCCTCCTAATGCAAAATATAAGAAGTACAGCTCTATATGAACTGAATTCACAATGCATTACCCATACAAACCTATATAAAGTAGCCAAAGATTAAAACATATATCCTCTCTCAGATTACATTATGTAACACAATTTTTGTTCCTGGGTTATAAATGTCATTTCCTAATTGGTTCTATCATAAAACATGTAAAAAGTTTATTAAACTGTAAAAAAAACTTTGTTTGTTTTTTTTTTGGGGGGGGGACATACTGCAGCACATTGTAGCTGTAGTATTTCAATGACTATCTCCTAGAGTCTCAACCAATTTCAAATCAGTTTGTAGCAGTCACAAAAATGAAATTTCTGGAGTATAACAACTACTTTCAAAGTAAGTACCACTATAATTAATAAGGAAATAACACTTTCAAACCAGGGACAGAAAATCTTTCAAATTTTGTTAACCTAGTGGGTGAAACGACAAAAAGATAACACCAGTATTGATGACATAAGTATATATTAACTGGGAAAGGACATGAAATGTTAGCATCACCATTTTGATGAGATTTTTTTTCAGAGCAGTCAAGAGAACTGATGTTAACTATTAACTTGGCAAGGTAATAATCATGACTAGATGCATGTCCATGGAAAAGGCTAACCCCCCCCCCCCAAGTTAAAAATTAGTTCTCTCAACTTCTTGTAAACAAAGTCATAAAGAAAAACTGGCCCTTCTATTGGGCAAATTGAGACAACCCCCTTAAGCTGAGTAAGGAGGCAGTAAGGGCAGGTGTATGACCGTTCTTCCTGGGACCAGTGGCTAATGTCCTCTATTAAAGCACAGATATATATCTGTCCCACACACTTCTGGTCTCAGTTGAGATTAAATACAAATAAATGTTGTATTTAGACTTGGAACGCATCTTCAAGATATCTCATATATATATATATATATATATATATATATATATATATCTCACATACATTCCTGAATTTTTAAAAAGCCAAAACATTCCCGATCTCAAGTATTTCAGGTAAGGGATACCCAACAAAGCTGGATGGAAAAAATCACCCAAGAGAGGCAAGAATACTGACAAGCTGGAACATGTCCAAAAAAAGAAAAAAAGAACATGTCCCAGGGAGGAGAATCAAAATGGAATGGAATGCAAAAATTAAAATATGAAATGTACAACGATAGGTTGGGTGACATCTGGCTTGAGAACAGTACATGGGAAAGGGATCTCGGAGTCTTAGACCACAAGGTGAACAGCTTTAAAAAGCCAATGTGATTCTAGGCTGAATCAATAGGACCATAGTGTCAAGATCGAGGGAAGTCATAGGGCTCTTCCACACAGCCCTATATCCCAGAATATCAAGGCAGGAAATCCCACATTATCTGAGTGTGGACTCAAACAACTCAGTTCAAAGAAGATATTGTGTTATTTTCTGCCTTGATATTCTGTGATATAGAACTGTGTGGAAGGGCCCATAGTCCCATTCTATTTTGCTTTGGTTGGACCTCACCTGGAATACTGTGTCCAGTTCTGGGCACCACAATTCCGAAAGGATATTGAAAAGCTGGAATGTGTCCAGAGGAGAGCAACCAAAATGGTAAAAGGTCTGAAAACCAAGTCCTACGAGGAGCAGTTTAGGGAGCTGTGTTTGTTTAACTTGGAGAAGAAAAGGCTGAGAGGGTAAATGAGAGCTGTGTTTAAATGTCTGAAAGGATGTCACATTGAGGACAGGGCAGGTTTTTTTTTTTTTTTTTTGCTGCTCTGGAAAACAGGACATAATTGAGCAATGGATCTAAATCATAGGAGAAGATATTCCATCTAAACAACAGGAAGAATTTCCTGATGGTAAGAGCTGTTTGGCAGTAGAATATGTTGGCTGGGAGCAGTCCTGTCTGAAAGCAAGACACATTTAGAAGTTGCCTGGTGGCCTGATTATCATAGGGGCCCCCTGCTAATCTATGCACAGACTAGAATGTAATATCCATATTTCAGTCACCTGCCTCAACATTCAAATCTCCTGCTAACTCTGAAGGGAAAAAATATCAGCTGTAGTGAAGTGTGTAGTTTGCATTCACAAGAGAAATTTTACTGTTTTTATAGCTTGCAATGTTATGGAAGCAGAGTATTACAATGCAATGGATTCGCGGGAGGCAATTCTCAGCTGTGAACCATTGGTGACACTGCACATTTCCATTAGTAAAAGCAGAGCCTCCTTTGTTTGTGCTCCAGGAAGTCTATATGTGTGCTGAGATGTTAGAGGAAGGGTAAGAAAGTTAAGTCTAGAAAAAGAAACTGTAGAGTTATTACGCAATACCAATAAATATACCGCATTGATTCAAATCTAAGGTAGGGATTTGCCACGGGGGGGGGGGGAGGGGGACAGGATCTACCTTACCTCTGAAAGATGAGGAGGAAAAGTCCCAGCCCCAAATGGCTCATGTTTTTGTTTTAATTGTCTTACCTCCAAGATAGGAAGAGAATGAGCATGAAGAGTCCCAGCCCCAAACAACTTCATGATGGGTCTTTAAAACTACTTCACTTCCATGAGAGGAAAAAAGAAGAAGAAAGGGGCGTAGCCCCAAACAGGTCCATTTGGATGGATAACTTCCTTACCCCAAAGAAAAAAGGAGGGGGGCAGCCCCTAATGGTTCCTTTTGGGGTTTCTTTTAATTGACCTCAGAGAGGAGGAGCAGGAAGAAGGGCCCCAGGTGCTGCTATTATTATTATTATTATTATTATTATTATTATTATTACCCTACTTTTTCTCTCCAAAGCAGCTTACAATAAAAGCATTTCAATACAATTCAAAATCTAAATATATATCCTATCCTATTTGTCATTGATCCACTCCTTCGGGCTTCACGCAAATCCACCATTTGTCAAAATATACAATCTTTTATTTTTCCATTTCTGGCCTAAATATTGGTCCATCTCATTGAAAACGTGGTCTGCCCAAGGGCTGCTTATGGTGTGTGTGTGTGTGTGTGTATGTGTGTGTATATATATATACACACACACACACACCCAAACATATACATTGAATACAGTCTAAGAAATTGATTTTAATTGAGACGTTAATTCTATTGAACATTTAAATTATGTTGGGGTAGTCACTTATTATGTTGCTTTATAGTTTTTCATGAGATGTTGTGTTTTGATGACTATGTTTATTTATTTTTATGGTTGTAATGTTTTTGTTTAGATACTGAATCCCAATCTGGGAGAAACGTGGGATAAATAATAATAACAAACATTAAAATAAAATTAAACATCAATGGTATTGTGTAATTGAAGGCTTTCATGACCAGAATCACTGGGTTGCTGTGAGTTTTCCAGGCTATCTGGCCATGTTCCAGAAGCATTTACTCCTGCCATTTCACCCACATCTATGCGGGGACATGAGAGAAGCCTCCCACAAGGATGATAAAAACATCAAATCATCTGGGCATCCACTGGGCAACGTCCTTGCAGACGGCCAATTCTCTCACACCAGAAGTGACTTGCAGTTTCTCAAGTTGCTCCTGACACGACCCACATCTATGGCAGGCATCCTCAGAGACTGCTTTGGAAACCAAGCAAGTGGGGTGTATAGATCTGTGAAACGTCCAAGAAGGGAGAAAGAACTCTTGTCTGTTGGAGGCAAGTGTGAATGTTGCAGCTGGCCAGTTTTATTAGCACTGAATAGCCCGGCAGCTTCAAAATAAAGAACAACACTCAGAAAACAGGGGAATTCCAGACCAGGGCCAGCTAACACCTCCCAACAAAGGATCCCCCAGGCAGGAAGCAGCCAGGCTTTGAAGCTGCCAGGCTACTCAAAGGTAACCCTACACATTTTGCCTGAGCCTCTGCCTGAGCTTTCTCTACCTCCCCCTACTAAGGCCCAGGGCACCTACTGTTCTCCAGGGCGATCTTCAACATAACTTGGCACTTGTGGTTGAAGGTGAACAGGCTCTTATAGAGGAAGCTCTTCGGGGCCTTCTTCTCGCCGCGGTTTCGCTCCGGGAACAGCCCGTAGCCGAAGTCATCCTCCTCTTCGCTGGACCCACGGCCGCTCTCCGGTTGCTCTGAAGCCATTCCAGCCCAGCGGACAGGCTTCGCGTTGCTTTTGCTTTTATACCTTCCCGGCTACCGTATCCAAAAATGCCACGCGAGTCAGCTGACTGACGCACTGGTGAGAGTAGGATAGGTGGGTCCGGAAGCGCCGAGCGTTACGCACATTCCGCAACGGCGGTTGTGAATAAGGGAAGGGGAGAGCGGCAGGACCCACCTATCCTACTCTCACCTCACAATAATTTACTTATTTCCATTACATCTCAATGTTGGGCCTTCCCATGTTTTGGACTTCATTTCCCAGAAGCCCCAGCCAGCATAGCCGGCGGCGCGGAACTCTGGGAGTTGAAGTTCGAAGGGTTTGAGAGCCGCCGATTTTCTAACCAATCACCAACAGGAACTGAGCGGGGGGCGGGGCGGGAGAGCGGAAATAGGGACAGGGACCATCTCGCCGCCATGACACCAGAGGCAGAACGGGAAGTCAGTGCGCATGCGGACTGCGCACATTTCTCTTCTGCCTCTTTCGTTCTCTTTCCGGCAATAACGCCTACACTTCCTTCTTCTCGCGAACGGCATTTCGGGAAAGGAAAGAGGCCGGAGTGACGGTTGAAAGCCCGCAAGGCAGTGTTTGAGCTGCGCAGGTGGGAGTGTGTTGTTTTTTCTGATTTTCCTTGTGCTCACTCATAGAATCATAGAGTTGGAAGAGACCTCATGTGGTCCAGTCCAACCTCCTGCCAAGAAGCAGGAAAACTGCACGTAGAGCACACACACCCCCGACAGATGGCCATCCAGCCTCTGTTTAAAAGCTTCCAAAGAAGGAGCCTCCACCACACTCCGGGGCAGAGAGTTCCACTGCTGAACGGCTCTCACAGTCAGGAAGTTCTTCCAAATGTTTATTCCGACCCTATTACGTTATGAAAGGAGGCGGCTCTCATTTGATGCCCAACTTCTGCAGAGTGTTGATGAGGCTCTCAGTCCCTGAGGAAATGAGAAGAGAGCTGCACTGCAGCAGACTAATCTGGCCACTCCATAGCTGATCACTAGGGGAAGCCCACAAATAGGTCCTGAGTGCAGTGCTAAGTCCTTGGCCTGGTATTTCCCAGCAAATGATAAACAGAGAAGCCCTGAAAACATCAGTAAAAGATTGCATGTTCTACCGTGTGTGTTTGGGTATGCATGTATATGCACACATACATGCATATGTGCTACATAGGTATATATGTGTGTGTAGAGTTAGATATGAGAGATATTAATATATAGACAGTCCAGAAACTTCAGTTGGTCCAACACTCGGCAGCCAGACTCCTAACTTTGGCGAATTACATCCCCATATAAAGCTGGAGGTGAGCTGGCGGTCATGTTTTAGCATTAGAAGGACTGTATAGCAGATTGGTGCCGAGTCTTTACTTTACCTGATGCATTTCAGTGCTCTGGATAGCGCTCCCCATTCGTTGCTCTAGAAGTGGGGTAAGTGGAAAGGGCTACTAAATGCTGGCAAAACCAAAGGAGGAAGATTTAGTATTTGTCTGCTTACTGTACCCTTTGCAGTAAAAGGAAGACCCACTTTCATCTGCTATGTTAGAACAGGTCTACATAGTCTCATTGGATTTGGTTTGTTATTCCTCTGTGTCCTTTATTGTTAAAATGTGTTCCAAATACATTGCATACCCCACTAATTGCATCACACCAGCAAATAATTTGGTTCATTGTGTTAATAGAAAGCATTCATTTCCATCATTTTGTCTTTTAATATTTTTCAACACAGGCCTACATTCCTTCACAGAACAAGCCACCAGATGACTTCACCAAGTAAAGCAATAGAGTTACAGCTACAATTACGGCAAAATGCCGAAGAGATGCAGGATATGGTGAAAGAATTAGAACGTTGGGAAAAGGATATTAAAGAAAAGGATTGTGATTTGAGACGGCAGAGCGGAGTCCCAGAAAAGGTAACTATGGTTTAGAAGTAATGAGACAGGCACTTCAAGCAAAATTTGGCTCCATTGAGTAGTTCTTTAGGTTGCAGGTAGAACTACAAACTTTTTATCTTTTGATAGCATGTTGTACTTGAAGGTTAAATTGTAACCTAATGTTTTCTCTTACAAACAGAAGTTGTTGATGTGTTTTGATGGCACTCTCCAGATTATTACAAAATAAGATGATCTGTTCAGGTGCAGAACCTTTCTAAATCAGAGCCTTTGCCAGCAGGCATCCCCAAACTGTGGCCCTCCTGCTATTTGAGCCTCCAACTCCAAGAATTTCTGACCATTGAACAAGCTGGCTAGGGCTTCTGGCAGTTGGAGGGCCAGAGAAATAATTCAGTATTTGTTCTCTGGATTGTTGGGACTATCAAGCCAGAGGGTGTCTGCTGTGCTGGGTTCAAATATTAGATTTCTTTACCTTTCCTTGTGCAACAAGGAACGGGCCTGAGCACTCAGCTCCCCCATTGTATACCATGGTTCGTGGAGAATCCTAGCATATTGTTTGAAATCTTCTAGTAAAATTGATATCAGGGCCTAAACCAAGTCAAACTGAATTGTATAAATTTGATAAATGTAAATCATTTGTTGCTTCTTTGAAGTTGTGTTTAGATGAACTGATCTTTTCTGCTATTTAGGATTTACCACCAATCCGAAATGAAGCTTATAAAAAAAAGAAGAAATCCAAAGTTAGAACAGTATCCAAAAAAACAACTGAAGAAAATAAAAAGAACAAAATAAAATCCAATGATTATGAAGCATGGGGAAAGCTTGATGTGGTAAGTTAAAACATTACAGAAAACATAATTTTGTTTTATGAAATGTTGATACATAGCGTTTAAGCTTTCCACACTTTTTTAAAAAAAGTATTGATATGAACTGTTACATTTGTAAATCCATGTCTACTTCAATCAAAACATGTTTCACTCCTTCTGATAATAGCTAACATTCTCATTGAAAATATCCTAGTTCATTGCTGGAACCAAATAGTTCCTTTTAGAAATAACCTTTCTTATGTCTGTTTGTGACAGCATTTTTAAGTTGTATAAATTCAGCCTTTGTTGATCTAATATAGGCATTTTTACAATTTTTTTAATATTTAAGGTATACACTTTTTATCTCTCAATATGTGGCCATAATTTTTTTTTAAAAAAGGAATAATTCTAAAATGCATAAATTGCATGGCTTAAATTGGGAATCCTAATTCATGGATTCCATAAAATGAGGTGCTTGGGTTAATCAGTATGTCTCTTTTTTATTTGTAGAGAAACCGTTGTGTTAAGCATATGGTAAAATGCCATGATGATATATTATATTTCTGTGAACTGAACAGAGGAGGCATGATGTTCTCATTTTCTAGAATTAACAGAATTCTTAAAAATTAGTTTGAAACATTAAAGCAGGGGTCCTCAAACTTTTTAAACAGAGGGCCAGGTCACAGTCCCTCAGACTGTTGTAGGGCTGGATTATAATTTGAAAAAAAAACTTGAATGAATTCCTATGCACGCTGCACATATCTTATTTGTAGTGCAAAAACACTTAAAAATACAATAATTAAAATAAAGAACAATTTTAACAACTATAAATTTATTAGTAGTATGGGTAGTGTGGGTCTGCTTTTGGCTGATGAGATAGGATTGTTGTTGTGTGCTTTCAAGTCATTTCAGATTTAGGTTGACCCTGACTGAGAGCCGGATCGGGCCCTTGGGCCTTAGTTTGAGGACCCCTGCGTTAAAGGGTGTAGCATTGTAATTGAGGTGTTCATGTACATCACGTTTTCCATGTGTTGCCACATTTTTTGTGGAATCCTCTTTGGTACAGCATTTGTTCCCTTTTGTTTAGTGTTTCCCTATAAATGTATGTACATTTGTTTTCTTGAACATATTAAGTATTTTAATTCTTAAGTATTTCTCATTTCAGGATAAGATACTTGAAGAACTTGATAAGGAAGACAGCACACATGATTCGGTGTCTCTGGAATCAGATTCTGAAGAAGATGGCATTCATATAGATATGGAAAAGGCTATTGCTGAAAAAGAAAAGGTGATTCATGAGCAATTTATTTTTCTTCTGATTGTGCTTTTACAAAAATTTACCTCAGACTATGGAATCTGTGGGGCTCTGTATGTTTTGTCGTGTATTTTCTATTAGCCCTACTGTGCAGCAACTGAAGGATTTATGTGGGTGTGTATTTATTTAATAAGGGAATGTTACATTATGTAGGATGCCAGATTTAGAAGATTTGGGGAAAGGGAAAATATTAAAGAAACGGATAAGTGGAGAAATTTCTGGATATCTGTATGGTGAACTGTTCCAAGAGGGGAAAACAAGGTTCAAGGGATGCGTATGGATAACAGTTGAATGAGGGCAATTCACTCTTAAAGACAGGCAAATTCCAAATCATTCTGCCATTCCAAATACTTGAATAGTACCAAAAATCAGATTTAATTGGCAGTATACTCATGTCATTCATATTTTGTTTTAACAGGGCAATAATTATTTTAAACAAGGAAATTATGATGCTGCAATAGAATGTTATACAAGAGGAATGAATGCAGATCCTTATAATCCAGTTTTGCCTACAAACAGGTCATCTGCTTTTTTCCGACTGAAAAAGTAAGGCTTTTACTGCACAACTTTGTTGTTTAATTCACATAAAACATTAAGAGTGTCTCTTATGTATTTATTTATTTAATCATTCATTCATTCATTCATTGAATTTATATTCTACTCTTCTCAGGAAGTTCACAACAAATTAACAGAGAACATATAAAGTTATTAATACAAAATAAAAATGTCTATCACAAGTTAAAACACTTTAAAAAGGTTTACAACATAATAAAAAAGATAAAGGCACAGCATATGCCCTTAAATAACTTTTTTGCCACATGAATTAAGAACCAAGGGCCTGTCTAAATAAAAAATGTCTTTGTCTGCTGACAGAAACCTCCCATAGGAGGAGACGGTTCCTTAATCTGAGAATATCTACTGGAAAGACTCTCTCTTTAGCCCACTGATGGTGATGGGAGTGAGAAAGTTGTTCTATACAGAAAGCAGGATTCTATAGATGTAATATAATTCAATACAGAAATATTGATCCCTCTGCAGAAAATATTGTTTTCTGTGCTGAAAAAAAAATATCTGCAATTGAGGATTTATTCCGTGTCAAATTTACACCTGGTTAATT